CTCTGGAATCCAAGCAGAAAGCAGCCACCCAATACTGCTGCATTCTGTCTTTCATCACAGTAACACAGTTCAAAAGAAGATCACCACCAAGCGAAGTAACGGTGGTGAGAGGTGACCTCCCATTCACAGCCATCATACCATCTTGTGTTCGCAGTCTGCAATCGTTTCTGTATCTATTCATCCCTGCTCATACTGTTCTGCCCAATGTAGCCAAGTGATACAGGGGGCAAACACTTAGCAAATGCCAATGTCTCCCCTCAGCACTCACTCCTCATCCACAACATGCTATTTCCACTGCCAGTTCCACAAACTGTCAAGGGTCTCACTTTTTGGAGACATCATATTAGTGTATGTCTATCATGCAGAGAATATGAGTGAGACAGAAAAAGATTCATAGAGACAGAGAGAGAAAATAGAGGCAAAAAGAGAGTCTGAAACAGGAAGAAATATTCCTTGTGCTCTGTGCATAAATGAGTAGAAACTTCTTCTGTTACTGGCAGCTTTTGGGATGAATGAATCATGTTTTGAACACGCACCCTGATAATTTACAGCCCACTGATTTCACAGCAAAGACTGACCATTCTGTGGACTTCAGAGAACAATTCATTGTCTTCAAGACCACCTACAACTTGCATGCATGTGCCGTCATTCTAAATTATACCAACTCAGCATTTCCATAAATTCATCTTCTATACATAAAATTCACAGCAGTGTAATTGACCAAATCAAGAAATCTCTTGTGCTTAGAATGACTGCAGTCAAACACAATTTGTTGTATATTTCAAAATAGCTAGAAGAAAGGTTTCTAATGTTCCCAACACAAAGAAATGATAAATATTTCAGGTGATGAATGTATCTAATTAATCTGATTTACTCATTACACAGTGTATGTATGTATCAAACATCACCCCTAAATATGAATAACTTGTATATGAAATATGTATAATCATTATGTATAAATTTAAAAATTAACAAGAAAGGGAATATTCTGTGATTCTGTGCTCAAAAGTGTTGGTTTTAAAGTCACTGATACCTTTAATAACTAGAATTCAAACACAGGTGGTTTGATTCTGTTCTGATCTTTCATTTCATTGGTAAAACCAGTCTAGAGAAGTAAAGGCTGCCAAAAACAAAATCCATGTTAAAAATTAAAAACTGCCAGGCGCAGTGGCTCAAGCCTGTAATCCCAGCACTTTGGGAGGCCACGGCGGGTGGATCCCAAGGTCAAGAGATCGAGACCATCCTGGTCAACATGGTGAAACCCATCTCTACTAAAAATACAAAAAATTAGCTGGGCATGGTGGCGTATGCCTGTAATCCCAGCTACTCAGGAGGCTGAAGCAGGAGAATTGCCTGAACCCAGGAGGCAGAGGTTGCGGTGAGCCGAGATCGCGCCATTGCACTCCAGCCTGGGTAACAAGAGCGAAACTCCGTCTCAAAAAAAAAAGAAAAAAAAATTAAAAACTACAAAATTTAAAAATAATAAATCCTTAAGCAGAGCCTTAAGTATTAAAAGAGAATCTGGTTGTTGAATCTCAAGTGATTAACCAAAGCAAATGTCATCGGTATGAACTGATTTACTTAATTCAATTCCCTATTTTAAGACATACAGATAACTTCACAGCTCAATAAGGATTTAGAAGGAGAAAAAAAAAAAATGATGAGGTGGAAACGGCAGAGTGAGATTCGGGAGACCAGGACTTTGGTTCCAGCTGTTAGTATTAAGTAAATTACTTAATTTTGCCTCAAATTATTTTTCTTGTGTATGAAAAAGTGACAGATTTGTGGATCTTTTTTTTATGTGCATAAAGTTACATAATTTTCTAAAGGAAACTCAGAAGCATCAATCCCTACATTTAATGGAATAATGCATGTAAGATAGTACAGTGCTGGACGCATGCATTGTGATTACTACATTATTCCTTAAATAGTCACAGAGTGCTGCTATAGTATTCTCTATGGACAAAGCTGGCTCTGCTATCAGTTAGCCGGGTGGCTTTTTAAGCAAATGCATTAACCAGTCAATTCATTCATCCTTTTATCCCTTAGCCAGGGGACAGGGGAAGACACAGGGGGAGCCACAGGAGACCCTAGTCTGCCAGTCTGGTTTCCCCTGTCCTGTACTGGAGGCTGCCATCCCAGATGCTTCCTGCCTAGCCCTATTCCAGGCTGAGCGTTTGTTTACACACTTGTGCTTTCCTCCAGGCCTTCCACTGCTGCAACGGTGTTCTGCACTCTTCCATCTTCTGTGCGTTCTCTTCCGTGTGCTCTTCCAACCGTGCACTTATTTCAACTTGAATTTCTGCTTCATATGCTTCTTCATCTGCTTTCTGGTCAACTTTTTCCTTTCTCAGAACAAGTTTCAAGGGAGTACTTGTAAATCTCTGGAACTCTCGAAGGGATTTCATCTCTTTCCGAACTTTTACGATGGTCTTAAGCAATGTTCGATCTTTTTCTTGTTCAGCATCACGCAATTTTCTTGTTTGTCGGATTTCAGATTGATAGTCATTGATGGTTTTTTGGATGGTATCAAGAGACTGATGAGGTTTCTCTGGATCAAGTCCAGTCTGAACAGCATTTCTTAGAGCTTGGAGCTTATCAGTAAGAAATTTTGCCTTGTTTCTCTGGTGGTACTGGTCATATAACTGGGCCAGCTTGGCTGCCAAAATGTGCTCTCAGCTGAAACAGGGATGATGACTGAAGAGTAACCCTGAAATATCAATGTCCAGTTGGAAATTTCCAGGAGGGTCTCCGGATCTGATCATATGCTGACTACTGTGAACATATTTTACTGCCTGTGGGCTTCCAGAAAAGTTCCTGGAAAGATGGTAGTGAACTATAGAGAGTAAAAATGAAGCATTTTGTAGTTGTCCAATAGGTATTAAGGGAAAAAATCAGTAAGCTAATTAAGATCACAGTAATCAAACAAAATTCACTCAAAATAGTACTATTGCAAGTATTATTTGAATTTGAAATTTTTACTCCGGACATTCCCTCAGAGAAAGCTGTGAGAATGAATTTCAGCAGTCTAACTTGGGTGGACTTGCTCTCAAACAGTGCAGGCTCTGTTATAAAAGGCCCCAACCATGTCCCGGGTGGATGCTGAGAACACCCAAAGGGGGGGGGCCCTGACACTCCCACTGAAGAATGCAAGAAAGACCCTCTCAGCCTCCCATAAGCAATGCTGAAACACTGAGCAGAGCAATGAGAGAATTTGACAAGAAATCATGATTAATACTGAAAAAGAATGATATTTTAGAAGGCAAAACTTCTTTCTTAAATAATTGCTGTAGCTACTGTGAATTAAAATGGAGAATAGCATTGGCTTGTAACTGTCCTTAATTTTAGGGTTTACATTGTTTGTTAAAGACTGCTTTCAATTTCCATTTACCAAACTGGAAAGGTCACCGTATTTGTCTCTAGGAAAAAATTCATAATTTATTATGCCAAGAAAATAAGAAGAAAAACTACAGATACAAATGAAACAGATGTCAAAACGAAATGAAAACTGAGAATGTGATAAGTTGTGTTTTAAGTAAATAAAGAAAAAATATTGAAAGCTTAAGTACAAAATCAAATTTATGATTCAAAAAATATTTTTAACCATTGCCTATAACGCCCAAGTCAATGTTTCTAGTTTTGAATGCTCCCCTTGCCGTCACACTTAGACTTCCAGTTGTCTGATGGATATTTCTATCTAGATGTCCCTTATAAACGTCACTGTCTTTCCCTTCCCCAAAATAAATCTGCTTCTCTCCTAAACTCCCCTTCTGGCATCATCATGTTCTCAGTCACCCACATCAGAAATCCAAAAATTCCAGGTCCTCACATTTTCTCACTTCCCATGCCTAATCACCAAATCTAGCTCTTTCAAGTTTCTCTCTCTTTCTCTATTTCATGCTGTTTGTAGCCAAATTCTAGCCCTCTTAGCATTCCCCCATATAAATACAAAATGTGTATTTCCTTCCTTTAATATTGTTCTAGTTCATTCTCTATACTTCTTCCAGCATGATACACATAAAATGCCAATGACCTGCCAGCTGAAAACTCCTCAGTGCTTCAGTGCTTCCTGCCCACCCTCCTTTCACACACACGCCACAGCTTCCTACTTCTTCACGTGGATGTCACACCCCTGTCACACTGCTCTTGTATGCAGTGCCCTTGTCTACCCCACCCTGCTTTTTACCTAATGCCCATTCCATTTTCAAGAGCCATTTTAGGGGACACCTCCTCTAGGAAGCCTGCTTTTAACACACACAGTCCTCTGGCCCCAGGCTGCATTAGATGCCTTTCCATTCCTTAATGCACCCTCAATATACTTTTATCACACAGAAGTTGGTCACATCTATTTATGTGCCTATCTCTTGCATTTGGAAGATATTCCTTGAAGGCAAGGACTTAACTACCTTTTGCTTCTTAAGAGCCTAGCAATGTTTACTGAACTGAACTGAAAATAAATGAAACTATGGGGGAAAAAATGTATTGGAGGTATGAGAGTATTTTTGAGGATTATAAATGTTTAGGAATAGTAGAAATTTTTTTTCTTACTTAAGCAAATAATACCTCATGGTTTACAAAGTGTTTTCATATAAGTTACACTGTTAGATCCTTAAAATAACCCAAGAAGGTAGGGTAAGGAAGATATTGAGGCTGATAGAGACCCTAAATACATAAGAAATTTCTCCAAAAAGAGAAATATTATTGATTTTTAAAAGGGGAGTGTGTGTGTGTGCATGTGTGTGATGTGTATGTGTGTGTTCAGATAGATCTTCATAAGATCAGAGTTCCAACTTCAAATAAATTCTTCTTCAGTCAAAATAGCCAGTTGGTTTCCTCCATAATTACTAAAAAGTTTTCCCAAAAAAGAAAAACTCTCAATTGTTCATAAAAAATTTTCAATAACCTGTTTCCCTCTTTTCACTATTTTCCAAGCAGATTTTGGAAGACAAACCAGTTAATTCAGATTTCTAAAGACGAAGAGAGAACTAATTTACTCTCACCTTCAGAAGGTGCACTGGGCCTGATGCCTCCCAGATGCTTTTCTGATTTCTGAAGCTATCCTTTTCTCAGGAGAATACCAGCAGCTAAGACCAGCTTTTGTTAAAGTCTTCAGCAAAGAGGGTAACAAATGCTGAGGAAGAATGTCACAAAGATTCCTGAAAAACACACACACACAAGACAATGTAAGTTGTTTTGGGTTAGTTCATTCTATTAAGCTGAGATTTCATCCTACTCTAGTATTAAAAATTGACAAGGGAGACTTCCTACATATCAAATTCCATGATTAATTTTAACCAAGCATGATTGTACTTAATTACATCAATGTCTAATAAATTTTAAGCACCTTAATGGGAACAGGTAATGAAAAAAAGGTAACATAATTCCAATTACACTGCAGTGAAGAACAGAAGTTTAAATTACCCCTAAATAGCAGGAAGCAACTGCACACACAAATCAAAAAGAAAAAAAAAGGCACTTGATCCGATTCTACTCTAACGCTTCATGGGAATACACCGTGCTTAACAATCACATCAGCAGCAGGCTGTGGCTGGGAAGAATCTAATACAGACTGAAGAGAACAAACAATGAAGAACTAAGTATTTAATCAAGGTTGACAATGTTAGAGAGGAACTCAGCAATGCAATTACATTTTAGAGGTGGCTTTGAAGGCGGTAAGAAAAGAAGGCATCTGAATAAAGGGGTTGCTGAACACACCATTTTAAGAAAGAAAAAGCATTAAGGTTAAGGCGGAACAGAATAAAACCTTCATTAAATAGAAGCCAACTAACTGGCATGCTTCAATAATATTTTATTAAATATCTCACTTGTATGAGAAAGGTAAAACCACAGAAGAAATGCTTCAAAAAGCTTTTTTTAAAACCAGAATTTGGGGTCCGTCTGTAGTAAGAAGGGCAGAAACCATGAGTTCTAGACCTGCCTCCACCACTAACAGTATGACCTTGGGCTTGCTAAGTGCTTTTCAACTGGATAAGCTTTTAAAAAGTATCGATGGCTGGGCCACATCCAGACCAAATAAATCTCTGACCAATTAAATCAGAATCTCAGGTGGAATGACCCCCAAGTGTCAATATTTCGCAAAAGAAAGTCAGGAAAGATATTCTTTGATGACTCCTCTAGCTCTCACATTGTCTTCTCTACATTTCTGACCTGACAACTCGTTTGTTTTAAAATAGATAAAATTTAAGTTGATAGCATACAAAACTTTAAAACTCTATAAATTAGTTCCCATTTTCAGAAGGTGGGAACTCAGGGTCAAGAGATACAGTGATTTATGCAAGGTCCAAGCAAAGCAGCAGCATGAGGATGAGGTCAGGTCTTCTGGGGAGGAGAAAGCCAGATGGATCATAAGCCGGGGCCAGACACAGCTCTGTTTCAGGCTGGGCTGGGTATGATTCAAAGACATGAGCCATACCGATGACTAGGCAGTGATGAGGGTCATGGGTCTCTGGGCAGGGATGCATAACCACAGGGTTTCTGCTTTTTAAGGAAAAATAGGCTGGGTCCAGTGGCACGCACCTGTAATTCCAACATTTTGGGATGCCAAGGTGGGCAGATCACCTGAGGTCAGGAGTTCAAGAACAACCTGGCCAACATGGGGAAACCCCGTAGCTACTAAAAATACAAAAAATTAGCCAGGTGTGGTGGCACATGCCTGTAATCCCAGCTACTTGGGAGGCTGAGTTAGGAGAATCACTTGAACCCAGGAGGCAGAGAATGCAGTAAGCTGAGATGGCACTACTGCACTCCCTGGGCAACAGAGCAAGACTCTGTCTCAAAAAAAAAAAAAAAAAAAAAAAAAAAACAAGAAAAAAAAAGGAACACTAGAAGGCCGGGCACAGTGGCTCACACCTGTAATCCCAGCACTTTAGGAGGCTGAGGCAGGTGGATCATTTGATCCCAGGAATTCAAGACTAGTCTAGGCAGCATGAAGAAACTCTGTCTCTCTTAAAAAAAAAAAATACAGAAAGAAAAAAAATTAGCTGGGTGTGGTGGTGCACACCTGTGGTCCCAGCTACTCCACAGACTGAGGTGGGAGGATGGTTTGAGTTAGGGAGGTTGAGGCTGCCATGAGCCAAGATCATGCCACTGCACTCTAGCCCGGGCAACAGAGAAAGACCCTGTCTCAAAAAAAAAAAAAAAAAAAAAAAAAAAAAAAGAAAGAAAGAAAGAAAAAAGAAAAAAGAAAAGAAAATAGTAAACTTAGTAGCTAAACTATTGAGCACCTTGTATGAGCTAGACACTGTGCCAAGAAGGGCTTTCATCCTCACGAGAACTCTCTGATCCAGGTACTATTATCAATGCCAGTGTATACATAAGGAAACTAAAGCCAGGAGATATAAGTCTTGTCTCAAAAATGATGGACCTCGAATTTTAGAATTTTAACAAAGCTACTCTCTCTCCTGACCATGCATTGCCTCCAAGAAACACAGTTCCCTTGCAGGCTGGAGGCAAGGCTGCTCTGCCCTGATATCTACTTTGTCTTTTTTGTCTCATGCATTCTCACATTGGAAAGTAGAAACAGAAGTGTCCTGGAATCTCCATGGTGTTTTCAGATTTTCTTAGGCTAAACAACTAAATTTCTGTTGTTTGAGAGAGAATTTTCTTACACACACACTTCTAAATTAGTAGAGTTTGGATGCTGAGATTTCATTACACTGTTTTGGAGAACTTCAGCTCAGGCAGCCATCAGAAGAGTCATCACTGAAAACTGCCCTACATGACTCAGTCCATCATGGTATTTGAGTTTAAATGTCTAAACGAAATCTCTGGAACATCATTCATAATTCACGTATAAAAAATTTTCCTAACATTCTTATATTCATCTTCAATCTCCTAGAGAAGTATTCATGTTGCAGTTTGCTGCCCCATTACATTTACATTATGTAAATTATTTCCCTTCTTTGTATAGAATTGTTATTTACTATAATAAAATCTAATTTACAAATACGTTGCATATGAAATATATTTTGTTTAAGCGGCTAATGCAAAAGCATTACTGTTTCTGACACCTTAGGCATATCCTAATTATACTGTGTCAGAATTATCTTCATGGCTCATTTTAATAATAATGTGAAAAGATGGTTCTCATTAGATACCTCTAGGAAGAAATAGAAGAGTGGTAATAAAAATAAAAACACAATTTTAGGAGATGGAAGGAGCCTGGAAGGTCACTAAATCCAACCATCTATCTGCCTATAGCCCATTCCATTTTTCCCTATGGAACTGGATCTCTCTTCCTGTAGCTCTTACTTATTGCTCACAATTCTGGCCCTTGGAGCAATACCCAGGTTCATATGCTAATGTAAATTTCCCCAGCCACAGCCCACTGTTCAGAAAAACAAGGATAAACTATTGTCCAGAGGTGCTGCTTGAGGCAGGGTGCAGTGGCTCACGCCTGTAATCCCAGCACTTTGGGAGGCTTAGGCAGGCAGATCATAAGGTCAAGAGATTGAGACCATCCTGGTCAACGTGGTGAAACCCCATCACTACTAAAAATACAAAAATTAGCTGGGCATGATGGCACACACCTGTAGTCCCAGCTACCCAGGAGGCTGAGGCAGGAGAATCGCTTGAACCCAGGAGACAGAGGTTGCGGTGAGCCAAGATTGCACCACTACACTCCAGCCTAGCAACAGAGCAAGACTCAGTTTCAAAAAAAAAAAGGTGCTGCTTGGATCAGGGGTGAGCACCTCAGAGGCTGGTGGATGACTCAGAAGGTATCTTTGTGCGTGCAGAGATATGCTAGAACAAAGATAATAGTAAGACAGGTTGATCAAACCAGCTCTTTCTGGGATTTAGTTGGATGCCAGGAGTCAGAGGAAAACCTACTAAATAAGGAGAGAGCAAAAAGACCATACAAGAGACCACGAGAAAGAGGTGAGTCCCTCGAGGTCATCTCATACCTAACTTTCTACTTTACAGATCCGAAAGGGCAGCTGTGCAGTAAGTCCCTCCTCCTGAGGGTGTCCTGAGTGAATCTCTGTTTTTCTTTTCTTTTCTTCCTTCCTCCTCTCCTCTCCTCCCCCCCCTCCCCTCCCCATCTCTTCTCTTCTTTCTCTTCTCTTCTCCTTCCTCCTCCTCTTCCTCCTCCTCCTCCTCGTCGTCGTCTTCTTCTTCTTTCCTCCCTCTCTCTCTCTCTCTCTCTCTCTCTCTCTCTCCCCTCACTCCCCTCACTTAGCTCCTGGGTTCAAGCAATTCTCCGGCCTCAGCATCCCAAGTAGCTGGGATTAGAGGTGCTCCCCACCATGCCCAGCTAACTTTGCATTTTTAGCAGAGATGGGTTTCACCATGTTGGTCAGGCTGGTTTTAAACTCCTGACCTCATGTGATCCACCCTCCCTGGCCTCCCAAAGTCCTGGGATTACACACTTGAGCCACCGCACATAGCTGAGTCTCTGTTTTCTATGGCCCTGAGTGCCCAAATTCTTACAGACTAATATTACAGCACTCCATTTACTGCCATTCTTACAGCTACGTTTCAGACTGATAGTTAATATTTCCCTAATCTTTTTGTAGGTCTTTTTGTTAGTAACAAGTGAAGGCTTTATTTTCATGACATCAATATTTCACCTTCTTAGATTGGGTCTGTTATCCCAACCTGCCAAAAACTTTTGATTTTCCAATCCTGTCCTTACAAAATATTTGTTATGCCATCATCCATGAGTTAGACAAGAATATCATCCAGCATAACATTCGTGCTACTGATAAAAAATTCAAAAACCAACAATACAAAATTGGACACAATTTTAAAGAGCAAATAATGGTACCAAAATGCGAAAATCAAATTGTCAGTAAATAAAAATAAATTTATTTTAGTGTATGTCATTTCTTAAAATTAGTAATTACCAATACTCTAAGTTGATTGCCAATTATCCTGAAAATATAATAAGCTACATAAAGCGACATGACCAAGCAATCCATTTGCGGGATAAAGGTTTTAGCATTTACTCGCTACAGATTGCAAAACCCAGAAGAATTAGGTTTCGGCATCATTAGAGAAAATGAGGCCATAGTTGAGATAATTGGCAACTTGAACTTTGTAGCTGGAGTAATTACCTGTGCAGTCGACCAAGAAGTTATGTTTGAGAAACATATTGCAAAAACAGAGCCAAGTTAGCTTCAACCTTCCCTGAGGC